ACTGAATTCTGTCCTTGTATTCCTGCTCCTTGAGCTTAATACAGGAATCCAGTGTGTGTTCCTTGTTACAGAACAAACAAGCCTTTTGGACTGCAGAATCTGATTTCTCTGTGTTCTGTTTCCTTTATAGTGAGTATTCTGCTTTGTCCTCGCCAGCAAACATTTGTGAAACATTTGTGGCAAAGATACTACCTTTGAAACCACTCTTCTTCGAGTTCTTCCCCTCTGGCAAACTGGACTTTCCCTTTCTCTCTACTTTAACATCCTGGATATCTCCAAAGAGCGGGTCATTTCAAAATTTGAGCATTTAAGTCAATAAAGTTGACCAAATCTTCAAATGTGGCTCTTCTTCCATTTCGTTGCTGGATATCAAAGGCTGTGTTTCTCCAACGTTCTCTGGATATGAAAGGAAGTTTTGAAATGACTGTTCTCATGTTTGTTGGATTGTTCATCTCATTCTTGAATTCAACATCAGCCATGGTATTTCTACATCCAATAAGGAATAAGAAGCAGGTCTTCATTCCCTTACTGTCCTCTGCTTTGATTTGTGGCCATTTTAGAGCTTTCTCAAGGTAAGTTGTAGCTATCTTCAGCTCATTGCCATAATGCTGCTGAAGGAGACGTTTAGCTTCTTTATATCCCTTAGCAGGACTCATGTTCATTTGTGAACTGTTCAAGATAGTATAACCGGTCTTGTGGATTATTAGTCTTGTTCTCAATCGCGTGCTCGAATGCCCTTATGAAAGAAATATAGGCAAGAGGATCTCCAGAGAATATTGGTACATCTCTTTGAGGTAAATGGGATAAGCTCTGCTTCTTTACAAACAATTCTGTTATCTCATTTTGGAGTTGCATCACTTTGAACAGATATCTGTCATCATCAGTTGACTGTTGAGTGTTACCATGATCTGTGGTTTGTTGAGATGGTCTCTGGATAGAGCTGCAATCCTGGGTGCTTGACATAGGCTCAGACTTTATACACGGGTTAGATACTGGCTGAACTTGACGTTCCTTTCGGCATCTGAATGAATCAACAGATTGTGACCCAGTCTGTGACCTGTAATAATCATTCATGCCATCTTGACCTTCATACTCCTTTAACACTTTGAATTCAGCATTTGATACAGCAATTTCTGAATCCAGTTCAAGCTGTTCTCTTTTGGCCTTCAATCTCAACTCTTGAGCCTCTAATTATTGCCTCTTTCTTAAAGCAGATACCCGGGCTAGAAGTGCTGCACGCTTAGCCTCTGTCTTGACACAAGCAGAATTGGTTGAAGATGCCACAGAACTACTTGTCACAGATCCACTTTTCCTTCTATCACGAGGAGCCATAACTTCTGACACACTATCACTTGGTTTAACACCATCGTCATCTTCATCTTGAGGTTCAAGCTTATCAGACTCGCTTCCTTTATTTGTGGTTGAAATCCATTTTTTCACATCAAACGTAAACTGACGAAAATGTTCAATCTTGGGTTGAAACCAGTTAATCTGATCTTTTTCCCCATCTTCATCAGACAACATGAGTAACATTTCAGCATTCAACTCTTCAAACTGACATAAAATCTGTCAAAAGATATTCAGTTCCTTTTCAACAGTTTCACATCTTCTCTGTCTTGCATTAATCTGTCAATTTCCTTCGGTTTGCGTGTTAACTGTGCCAGTTTCCCTTGTCTTTCATTCGTAAATCGATTCATTTTCTCTTCAGCTGCCTTTGCAGTAGACTTTGGCGCCCTCTTGTGGCCATTACCCGGTACATTCGCAAGCACAGAATCATCCGCCATTCTACTTAATTAGAAAGCAGATCTTCACGCACACCATCGCAGTTAAATTAAGCTGCTGCAATTATTTGTAGTCTTCTAAATATTCACAAACTCCACTTGTGAAAAGACTTCCATCACAGTACCTTTAGTCCTTTTGTACCGTCCTTCTAATGTTCGCTGAGATTCGCGAAACGTCCTTCAATGAATCCAAGCAGCGTTTGTCGCGAGCCGCCCTCAACTTTCTTCATGAGCAGTTTTTTTACTTTTGTACTATCAATACATTTTCTTCTTGTTCTCTCGGGCAAACAATTGACTCGGGTTTTCGTTCAAACTTCAATCGTTTACTGGATGTTCTTGCTCAATAAACAGAAACAAAATAAACTCCGTTCAAAAAACTGTGTAGCTCCGTCTTTCTTTCTTTCTTCCTAAAAGAGCATATAAATCTAAACACATTAAAAATTATACTTACTCATGCACTTCTAACTTTAATGTTAAACTTAATTATTCAAATTATGGCTCTTACAGACGGTGTAAGGAATATACATATTTCCTGCTTTGGAAATCATTTTAATACGCTGATTTGATGCTCATACACAAAATTGTGAAAAAATTTACAATGAATATATATATAGTGAAAATTTAACTATTTTGTTTATTAGTGTACATTAATTAAATAAACAGCCTTTAGTCATACGATTTCTTTCAAAAACATCAAAATCTTATCAGTACCAAACTTTTGTGTGTGTGTGTGTGTGTGTGTGTGTGTGTGTGTGTGTGTGTGTGTGTGTGTGTGTAAATGTATAATTTTATGTGAGCAGATCTCTTAGGTGCAACCGATGATGCTTTAAAGAACATAAGGTGATGAAATGAGAATTAAATCTATATTTAAACCTCAATTATGGAATATTGTCATATTCAATCTTTGATTTAAATCAGATATACATCTCTATTTATATAACCATAAAATGCATCAGTACACATACAAGTGAAAATTTAGATAAAATGTAATTTTTTTTATTTTTTAAATGTAGTTTTTTCAATTTCGGCATTTAATTCTGTCCTTTGTTTCATTTGACTACAGAAAGTTATCTACTACCATCCGTCAACCAACTAAAGGTATGTACATTAATTATGTTAAAGGGGTCCTATTATGCTCTTTTACAAAGTCTTGATTTTGTTTTGGGGGTGTACTAGAACATGCTCTCATGCTTGGTGGTTCGAAAAACACATTATTTTTCACATAATTTACATTATTAAAATACCTTTCTCCCCAGGCTGGCACAAATGGCTCGATTAGTTCCGGCTTTGATGAAGGTCCGCCTTCCGAAAAACAAAATGTGTTGTGATTGGTTAGCTGTCCCAGTGCGTTGTGATTGGCGAACAGCTTAGACGGTGTTTCAGTACTGCCACGCCCCCTGCTCTGTCTTTCAACAAAACCTTTTCGCGAATCCGGCACTTCTCACTCGTGATGTGGAAGCTGTTCTCAGTAAAATGCGCAGCACACAATAGCAAATTGGGGTTATAATGCTCAG